AATTTATTTATTTATTTTTTTTTAAACAAAACATTTTTTATATATATTCTATTTAATTAAATAAAAATATATTTATTTATTATAAAACTATATTAGAATTGTGATAAATAAAGCTTTATTTTGTATGACTTTTAACTGATTTTACATATACATATATATTTATTTATTTATTTATTTACTTTCTGGCACCAATTTTTAAATATTTTTATTCAAAAAAAAAAACAAAACAAAACTAACAAAATTAATAATAATAATATTTTTATAAAATTTATAATTTATGTAATTAAAAACAAATATATATATATATAAACTTTAAATAAAAATTTCAAATCAATAATAAACTTCATTACAAATATAATAAGGTAAAAAAAAAAATAATAATAATAATATTTTGACAACGTTATTATATAACCTTATTTAAACAAAAGAAACAATCAAAAAATTAATATTTTTTTTAATAAATTTGAATAATAAATAATATATAATATTTATGATTTTTATTAATTTGTTGATAAAAAAAAAAAAAAAGAAAAACCGAGAAGGTTCACAGTGAAATTTTTCTCGAAAAAGAAATAAATGAGCAAAAGTATTTAAAAGGTAATACATATATATATATTATATAAATTATATTTTATTTATTACTAAGTAATTAATTTTAATTCCCCTGCACGTTGTTTCACAATTCATTACAAAAGGCAATTTTATTTATTTATTTAATTAATTTATATATATATATATTTCTTTTATTATTTACTTAAATTAATTATATAATTATTATTATTATAAAATTTTCTTATTTATTTTAAATAAAATTTTTCTATACTTTAATATATATATATATATTCATTTATTTATATATATTATATATATATGCACAAAAGGCTTATTCTTTTCATTTCAAACTGAATTAATCACAAGAGTATAGATATGCGCGATAGAAACAATATTTCTTTCTTTTTTTTTTTAAATAAATAAAAAATAAAAAAATTTTTTTTCCTTCGTATAATTTACGAATAAACAATAATAATAATATTTTTTCCTAGATCGCAATCGTGAAAATATATATATATTAATTTATTCCGGTTTATGTATCACGCACGATGAGATACATACATAAAAAAAAAAAAATATTCTCTATTATTAATAATTAAAACAATTATTTTAATAATTCGTCGTTATATTCACATTCGAAGTAAATAATAATAATAATAATAATATACGAATGTCAATCGTTAAATTTTGTAAATTTTTTCTAATTATATTAGAGCTCCTAAAAAATATACTTTTTATGGTAACAAGTAAAAAATATTTATGGAAAATTAAATTTCCATAGATAAGTAACTAATCCTACTTAACATTGATATTCCTTACCATCAACATTTGGTGGTACTTTTAACGGGGTTCTTGGAGCGATAACAAAGTTAAGGCAGTTTCAGCTAGAGTTGTTAAATCAGCAAAATCCGGTCCTGAAAAAAAAAAAAAAAGACATTCAAGTATATAATACAACTCATGAAATGTAATAAATTAAAAAAAAAAAATTAACTCACTTGAAATGCCTTGAACGGAATTTGATATTGGTTTTGATGTAATGGCCGAAGAGGAAGAAGAATCAGGTCCGACGTTTGGTAACTTTCCTCTTAGTTTTTCCAATTTATTTTTCATTATTTTATTTTTAATTGCATCTTTTTTTAAACCAAGGAGTCGTTTTTTACGCTGACGTTTTTTTTGTAAAAAACTTTCAAAGCTCAAAAGTGGAAGTTCTTCAATTTTTTTATTTAAATTAAAATCTCTATATAAAAAAAAATAATAAATTATTATAATTATTATTATTAATAAATTAATTTTATGTATTGAAAAAAGGAACAAGTTATTATTAATTTACCCTCCGTGAAGTTCTTTCTTTTCTTTTATCATTTGAACTTTTGATATTGGCTTTTTTTTAATTACATTTTTGGCATCTTTTATTTTTCTTATGTTTTTTTCTTCGCCATGTTTTTTCAACTTTTGTTCCAATTCCAATTTCAATTGTATTATGTCAGAAGCCTTTGCACCTTCCTTAACAACGACATCCTCATCATCATCATCATCATCATCCTCACCGTTGTTGTCATTATCATTTTTCGTTTTATTCGCAAATTCTTTTTCCTTCGATAAAAATTCCGAGACTTTTTTCAAATAATATTTGTCATTGTGCAAATTCGAATTTTCTCTTTTATGAATTTTTTTCTTTTTCGTTTTCACGTTCGAACTCATTTTTTCTTCATCTCCCGTCGCAGAATGAAAATTTAAATTTTTGCTTCTTTTTTTGCTCACCGAATTCTTTATGTATTGCTCGTATCTTTGACCCTTGCAAGATCTTTTCGATCTTCGACCACGTGGAGACTCGGGCGGACTGTTGTCGGATTTTTCGTACCACGATTCGTCGGAATCGGTTTCGCTTCTAGATCTTACGTTAAATTTTGCAACCGCCATTTCTTCAGCGTCTTCTGAAACTCGCTCTTTTATCATGCTCACTATTTCTCGACTTACTTTTCCTAATATGCTTTGGAAATTCGCACTACGTTTATCACAGTTTACTGGTACCTCATAATCACCTTCATTTTTACCCTTACTTTCTTCCCTTTCGTAATCATCATTATCGTCGTCTTCCTCATCGTCCTCTTCTTCATCACCACCGTCGTCGTCTTCGTCGTCGTCGTTTTCGTCCTCATCGTTGTCGACATCATCATCAACATCATCATCATCACCACCACCACCACCATCATTTTCGTTATCACCATCTTTATTTTCATCATTGTAATTTTTTGTATTTTTATTATTATTCTCGTTGTCATCATTAACATCATCATCATCATCATCATCATCATCATCATTATTATCTTTATCATTTATGTCTTTGTTTTCTAAATTATTATCCTGAGCTAATTTAAAAGGCTCTTTTTGGTCCAATCTTTTTTTTATTATATCACAGTTTTCACGCGCTACGTTAACGCATTTTTCCCCCCTTCCCGGAATGTACCCGTCTTCTATTTTACTAGTCCTCATTCGATCATGATTAGTCTGTATACTAGGTAGGACCAGCTTTCTTTGGTTCGGATTAATATAATCTACTATCAAATTATTGTTATCGTTAAAAGAATAATTTACGCAATTTTTTTTACTTTCTTCCTTGTCAGAGGACAAAACTATTGTATTATTATTTAAATTTGGACTCATGAGTGTTTCATTCATCTCGTAGGGTTTTGAACTCACTTGTACTGATATCTTATCATCTTTTTTATCCATTTTTTGATTCTTCTGAGATTGCCAAAATCTGGTCGGGTTCTTTTGATACGTATGTTCAGTATTTATATAATCTAAAGTGCGTTGGACATCCAACTCTTGATATGATTTTTGAACGTCGAAACTTGAATCAACTATTTTTTCAATTAATTGTTGTTGAGTGCAATTATTATTATCGGATTTCCACGAGCGAGATTCGTTTGGCTCGTTTTCAATAAAATTTTTTTCGTATAAGGAATCTTTCCGTTTAGCCTTTGAATTTTTTTTGTACTTGATTAAACTATTTTTTTTTTTATTTTTTCTTTTTTCTCCCTTATGGCTTTTTTTTGAAAATATTTCCGTCGTTTCTTCGGATTCACTCGCCGATTCAGAATCATCTTTGGGAGGCTTCGTCCTGGTTTGAAGTAAAAATCTTTTTTTAGGAGGAGCAGAGTGACTTAAAACAGACGGCAATGGCGGTGAAGCATTCAGAGGAGTTGTCGGAGGAGACAAAGATGAACTTAAAAGACTAGTTAAACCTCCTAATTGACTTTCATCTAAAAAAAAAATTATTTTGAATTGATTTTTCTTTTTTTTTTTTGTAAACTTTATGTAAAATAAAATCAAAATTTATATTTAAAAAAAAAAAAAAAAAAACCTGCGAGCTTTCCAGGTGTGATGGGACCTGAACTTGACACTATCCCTGGCTCTAACTTAGGGGGTCTCCTGTTTGATGGTCTAGTGACAAGAGTTCGTAGGGGTGGAGCTGGTAGCTTATACCAAGTAAATTGAGGATTGTTAGCAATAAAAATTTCCTTGTTCTGAAAACAAAAATGAAGTTTTTAATAAAAAGTTTCTAAGGAATTAAAAAGTTTTTTCTTTTTTTTTTTTTTGTGTTTAATTAAGAAATTACCTGTCGAGCAAGTTCCTTGTATTTATCTCTTTCATCTTCTTCTAATGTTCTCCACCAATTTCCTAATAATTTAGTCACACCTCGATTTTCTAAATTTGGATTTTTAGCACTGACAATATCCCGATGCCTCTTGCAAAACAACAAAAACCCATTTGGGGGTCTTCTAGCGTGATGTGCTGGAATTTCTCCTTTCACTGAATCCTCAGTTTTTAAATTGGCTCGCTTTCCTTCTGTTTCTTCTTCCGTATCCGACATATTTTTCCTTTTATAATTTGCTTTGACCGGCTCATCTTTTTTTTCGTTTTCACTAACGTGCCCGTTACATAATTTGGACTCTGTCTCTCTCTCATATTTATTTTTCATTATGTTTTCGTCTGATTTTTGAACCGCATCGTCTTGTGAATCCATTGTGAAAATTGAGTGAACATATAAATTGAACCCCTGAAAAACATAAACAATACACGTATATTAAATTAATAAAATGTCATAATTATCACATCACGTTATTTTAAAAGTGAAAAAAAAAAAAGAAAAAATGAATTGTAGTAAAATTAAAAAACAAATTTGAAAAAAAAAAAAAAAAGAATTTTACATTTTAATGAAATTAATTATTTAAACAATTACATTAGCCAAGAATTTGATCCGAATCCAAGACGCCTTTAATTTATGTTATTTATTTATTTTTTTTTCATTTGACAATTTTTTCTTATAATCATAGATTATTATTTAATTATTAAAAGATTAAAAAATAAGTAAATAATAATAAATAAAAAATATTTTAAGGTGACCTTAATGAACTAAAACCTGAATTCGAAAAAAAAAACCTTGATTTTCCAATGTCAATGTCTAATTGCTAAAGATTGTAATTTGGAGTCATCAGCCTTTTTAAATATAAATGGTGGTTTATATATACGTGTATATATTTATTCACAATTAAATTTATTTTTTATTCAATATTTATCATTAGCATTTGTTCAAAAAAAAATAAATAAAAATATTGGTAGCTTTTTTTTTTGTCATTTTAAATTATAGTTACGTTTTTTCAATATATACTAAATACAAATAAATAATAGGATAAAACATCTTTCTAAAAAAAAAAAAAAAAACAAATGCTTTGGCGAAACTCAAACAATAATAAGTAAAAAAAATTTTTAAAGTACCTATCATTAAAAAATTTTTTTATTCAAATGGGAGTATCATTGTATCAAAAATTTCATTCACCATTACAATTTCATTATTATTATTACTCATTTTTATAGAATGTATACAATCACAAAGAAAAAATATATTAGGTTTTTAATTATGTTTTAAATTAATTATTTAAACTATTTATTATTATTATTATTATTAAGACCAATGAAAATTTGATTTATTAAAATAATATTTATTCAATTTTTAAAAAAAAATTTGGGGAAAAAGAAATAACAGATATTTTTGTTTACTCTCAACAGGAGTTCTTAGCTCAATTTAATAATAAAAGTATCAACTTATTGCAAAACATTATTATAATAAGACCTTTTATGAAAAGTTATACATATTTGTAAGGTTTTGAATTTAAATTGAAACAATTAAAAAAATTTTTAAATTTTTTTTACTTAAGAGTAAGA